GACAGCACATTCTGGCCTTACCACAAAGCTTCTGAAATTCGTACGCACTAAATCCAGAGAAGCCACTCCAAAAATACAGCCAGGTGCCCACAGGAAGGATAAAAACACAAGAATTTCTCATGCTCTCCCAGCCAGGAAGGATGAAAACACAAGAATTTCTCATGCTCTCCCAGCTGGCTGGTAAGAATGTGGCCCCTCTCCCTGCCTACCAGCTCCTGCCACAGATCCAGGCAGAGGAGGTTTGAATCCAGCCAGTTCCTCTTCCTTACCCTGCTCCAGGGAGCTGTAACCACCAGACACCGATCCCGAGCGACGTTCTGTGGGAGCCCACCTTCTGGCTGCCCCTAGGAACCAGCTTCTGGCTGCAAAGAAGTCCTTGAGCAAGAAGTGGGGGACAAAGGAAGTGGGAACAGAGGCAGCAGGGACTCTCCCTGCAGCCTCTGCTATTCCCGGAAGATGTCCTCTTGGGGAGAAGGGGCAGGGAGCTGGACTTAGTGGTTTTAAAGTTGGAGGAAGAGGTGGAACAAGTCTTAAGACAATGTGGGAGGACAGGGGAAAGAAACCCAGAGAACTGCTGATACAGATCCTTAGGTCAGTATGATCAGCACAGGATCATGCAATGTGCCAGGAATGAAATCACAGCTTGAGCAATGATTTTGAGCCACTGGTGGTGAGCAGTCACTGACAGGGTAGGCTTAGCCTGGGTTTTCATGTTTAGGAGCACAGGCAGCTAAAGAACTGAGGGGAAATGATTTATGAGGACAGAGCGAAATGCTTATTACTGGGTTAAACAACAAGTAAGGGCAGACATAACAGTCTACAAATACCCATAGGAGTGAATGTCAAGGAGTGTGAGGAATTGTTTTGAACAGCAAGATAAATTTCCTAAGACTGAGGTGCAGTGGCTTGTGATACACTTGCCCAAACAGCTGAAGTTTTGTTGGCTGTGACTAGTCTGGGCAAAGCATGAGCAAACGAAAGGCCAGGAACAATTCTGTGTTGCTGGACAGGTGAAAGAGATTATTCTAATCTGTCCCATGTTCGGATGATCTCCACGTCTCCATCACCCAAGAAGCGATCTACAATGTTCAGCGAGGGATAGGAGTTGGAGACAGCATTCTGGAGACATACTCCAACTGCTATTCCCGTTACAATTTGTGTGTAATTACAAAACATATTTAATCAAGACAGTTTCAGGTTGATTGTTTAAATGAAGAAGTCACATAGCTGCTATTGGATGGATGGCTTATCCATTGCAAATGGATAAGCACACAACATCACTTGTACCTAGAAAGAATATCCACCACAACCGTTTCACTACAATTAACAAATTTATCATGCACAGAGGATAAGTGTTAAAATTGCACCCTATCTCCTGCCCACTTAAGCCCCTGAAATAGTTATTAAATGGACTTGAACCTTGTTCTGTGCCGAGCACCTGCGTGAGGGGTGAGATCCAGCCCAAGGTCACATTTCAGGGAGGTAAAGATTTCAGTAGGAGGCCTGAAGAATATCTCTGATCTTTCACACAGAGGGGGGAAAGAGCTGCTGGGACTACACTGAGCAGGAATGCAAGGGAAAGGGGAGGAATGCAAGGTGGAAAAAAACCAAACCAAACCAACAAACAAACAAAAAGAACCTTTGAACTTCGTTTCACAGCGTGGCATTGACACCACAGCAGGGTCAGGAATAAGAGGTTACAACTAGCAAGGCAGAAAGGGAGAATGGGGTTGCCTCTGAATCCCTCAGATTGCAAAATTATCGCCTAATTAAAGGAAATAAATTCAGGCAGAGGGGAGAAAAGAGCTCCTACATAGTCCTGAATTGTGGTAGTGGGGAGGGGACAGGAAAAACAGAACCAAAGCAAATACACAGCCACAGGAAACAAATGTAACCCTAAGATACCTTTTATCTCCCTCCTTTCTGGCAGATGTCTGGTTCCCAGTCCCTGTGGATCTGTTTGTGCCCTAAGGAGGATAAAGCAAACAATTTCCTTACTTCTTCCTGCCCTGCCTGAGACACCAGGTCTCAGGTGGTCTAATGTGGAGCGTTGCTTAACTCAGGGGCAGCAGGAACCTAATTCTCACTTAGCCCTGACTCTTGAAAAACAATCCCAGTGCTGGATCCCAGTGACAAGAAAGAAGAGACCAACTGTTCCTTGGCCCCTGCATGGAGAAAGAAGGTAAATTCCATGTGAATACCCCACAAACTGTACAATACTCTGCATTTTTTTCAGAATGCAAAAGTGAGAGGTAGAAAAGAAAAAAAGAGGAGCCACACATGACAGGATTGAGAGACACCCAGGAAAGCTGGGAGTGGGGGGATTTGTTTCAGGTGAGCACCATTAGGTGGGTCACTTGATGGCTGTGTGGTCTCATTGCATGCACAGCACAAAACACATTGCTAAAAAGTCATCAAGAGAAGAGGTGGATTTCAGAACTATCTAAAAACAAACCACAATTTGTCTCCCATCTTCAGGCTAGAAAGAGCTGACCATCCCAGAGAAAATTTCACTCGATGTCATAACAACATGTCAAAGCACTTTGGAGATTAAGGAGTAGATTAGGGAGAAATTCAGGCACAAAAAACCAAAGAAGTCGAGGACCTCTTTTTGTCAAAGGGTTTACAAGTGGCAGGGAAAAAAAGTATTAAGGAAGAAAGACCTTGTAATTAAATCCTTAACTTGAGATTCAGGTTCTTCCTCTCACCTTAGCATAATGCTGAAAACACATTCACAACAGGAGGTGCCTTATAAATTTGTAAACACTATGTTGCTTAAAGGTACACGATACAATACTAAATGTCATAATCCATGGCGTGCTGTCAGGAGGCTACAGTGGGAAGAGCTGACCGACGACGCAGTAGCTTTGTTCCTGTGGTAAATACATCTAAGCAAATTCAGGTCAGGGTACACAAACTTGTGCCACTGAGCGATTTTGAGCCCATTGTGTCTGTTTCTGTGTTGAGGAAGGAAAGTGTTTTTCACCTTCCAGATTTGTTTGGGCTTTTTCAGTAGGAAGCTAAAACAATTACCTGAACAGAGCCATACAGATTGTAGACTCTGACTTTCCCAAAGAAGGATTTTCTGTTGTATAACAGCTTCCAATGACCGAGACACCTTCTGCCTTTTACTTTTGTTTCATTAATTTTTTGGTGTGTCACAACACATCACACTAAAAACCGAGGTAGGAAATAAAAAGAAGAAAAGAATCCTTATTGTGAATCTCTACTTTTGCCTGGAATCCTTTTCTGGATGTTTATGGCATCCCATAAAGTTGCTGAAACATGCCTGCTGTATTTTTAATTGTCATTTTAAATGCCAAAACCCAGAAGTCTTGCTTATATTGTATGCGAACACAGTGTCTGCTTATGTTCAAACCTTCAGGCACTTTAAATAACTCTACTGTACACAGAGAACGTTGTTCATTTTGTTTTTACAATTTTTGCCTGTGTAGAAGGAGCTCTAACGTCTTGAGAACATAAATGTATGTTCATAACCAAGGAGCAAGATCACAGCTGGAATCTACCTGAGCCTTGGATCATATTTCAGCAGTGGCACGAAGCGAAAAAAAAAGCAGCTTATTTCTCTGTTTAATTTACAAGAGCTACAACTGGAACAGCACATAGTAGACGTACTGACGTAACGCACAGGTGAGTGCGTGTTACAGGTCCACCTCTGTGCCTGATCCACGGGGAATATCAAACTCTTTCAGACTTCAGAGCCCCTGTAAGCCCTAGAGGAACCTGCTCCGAACCCTGGTGCGTTAGTAAAGGTGGCAGCTGCCATAACAGACTTCTGTGTAGGCTACAAACTTGGGGCATAAAATCAGGGTCTTTTTATTGATTCCAGTGAGTTTCATACCAAGCCTCCATTGTTCTGTCTTAAAAAATAAACCATTACAGAGTATTCCTAAGCAGATTTGTTTTTTTCTTTCAAGGATTAAACAGGAGCAGATCGTAATTTCCTTTAAATGCATCTATTATTCATCAGTATGCAATATGTTTTATTATGGGCTTAAAAACAACAGCATATATATCTTTATACTCAATTCCAATCTGCTCCCTACATGTGTTCTGAAACTCACATTTTATGTTTAGACGTGAGTGACCATGAAAGTCACAGGGTAATACGTGTTCCCTGAGTAAAGACACAGACAAATATCTGGCCAATGTTCATTTTTCACTTTAGTTTGCTGTAAATAATCTTACATGCAATTTTGCCACTTCCTTTCTGTAGGAACCTCTGCAAGGAGGTTAGCATACAGTGGCTTTCAGAAAGCTGACGTAGTATTTATGAAGAGAGGGGAAGTAAATTAATTTCAGTGTTTGATTCAACGTTGGAGAAAGGCTTTTTGCAGTATTTATTCAGCCACAGGAAGAAGAGAAGGTACGGTGCTTTCTGCTGCGTTAGGAACACAGAGAAGGGATCAAAGAAAGATGCTTCATTTCTTGGTTTTCATCCCATACAGCCAGCCCTGTAATAGCCAGCATGATTTGCAACATGCGCAGTAGAGGATTAGGTGAAGAAATGAAGCCACGCACGTAAGGTAACACCCTTTTTTAAAGCAACCACCATATTTTGCAATGACACGTACAAGGGTCATTTGGGGTTTTCCTTCCCTTGAAGTCTGGGTTTCCTGAGAGGAAGGAGAGCTGAAATACAGGAACAAGTGGCTACAGACCATTTCCAGAGGCGTAATAGACCTTCCTTATTGACACAGGTTTAGGAACCACATCTGAATCTCCAAACTTCCTGATGTTCCCCTTTGAAAGGAGGGAAGACAGGGAAGGAGATGGCTGGAGAAGGTGAAGAGGTGGTTCTGTCCCTTCAAAGGCCTTGCAAACACAGCAAAACTGCTCCCATACCCTTAAATCTACCATAAAAAGTAGATTGCGATACAATTGGGAAACACAAGGAAATGGTTCAACCAATAAAATATGCTGGAATAGCACCAAACTTCTGCTTAAAAAGTTGTTTATAATAAACAATGATTACTTACAGTATCACTGCAAGATCATTAGAGGACATGGAGATCGAAGAGTATCTGGTTCATCTGGTTGGGACCTGGAAAACACAGTATCACATATCAGCAAACACCAACACAAATCAACCTATTTTTTTATGAGGGCTGTTAGAACAGGAGGAAATGTTCAAACCCACGCTGCTGGGCCACTCTGTGACCTAATCCTGGCCAGAGGGAAGAAACCGTGCTGTTCTCTAGATCACCACTGATAAAAGAGAAAAACTTCACTGGGTAAGAGCATCAGCTTTTCTGGGTTGTCTTGCAGATCACTTTTAAGCCTGTAAAAGGGTTAATGGGACCCTGGAGATAAAAAATACATTATGCAGCTGTGTAGGTGCTAGGAAGATGAATATAGGTTGATTTTTACAAACTTAACCTATGCAGAGTGAGTCATAATTTGCGCCTTGCGTCATTCAATAAATGGGCCTTTTGAAAGTCAACCCACTGTGAATGGGCTGCTCAGCTCTCAAAAGGCAAGAACCCTGCTCTCCTGCCCACAGGCTCCCTACTTCTAGGATTAAAAAAAAAAAAAAAAAAAGCTCAGTGGGATGGCAATAATAGGATCCAAACAAACAACTCCACCTTTGTCGGTTTGCTGCATCTCTCTCAAAAGGTCAAAAGGTTTTGACTGAAACAACTGTTTGTATTTCATGAAAGATTGATTCTTAATCATAGATGTGTGTTAATCTCATTGCTCCTCCTGCTCTGCCTTGTAACATTGTTTCTTTATTCAATTATGCCTCACATCAACTTTTTTTAATTAATACCTTCACTAGGAAAACCTTGAAAGTTTAGATAAATAACATTTGCCTTTGTGCATTTCAACCGTAAGCTTCTGCGTGAAGGAAATGTTTCTATTTTGTAGTCACCCAGGGGAAAGAAAAGCAAGTAGAGAGGAGGTCTACACGTTCACAGGGATCTCAGCACCCAGGAGACAGAATAATCATCTTTTGTTGCATACGAAAATAACAAAAAACAAAGTAAACAATACTCTTTTGTTCCGAACAAGAAAGGCAGGGCTTTAATAGTCTTTAAACGAGATAGAAAATTTCCATCCAAATGGAACCATGGAGTAGGTAGACACATTACAAGGTTTTGGAGTTCAGTGATTAAATTTAATACTGTGCCAAACAGTGATTAGTTGACGAAGGGCGTTCATAAACAGAATAGAAACAAGGGAAGTGTGGTTCCAGTATAACGCTGGGCCTCCACTGCAGTTTGGTGTTCAGCTTTCTACTTTAATAACAGGGTCAAATGAAAAAAAAAAAAAAGAAAGTTTCATTTGATTTATTTCCCTAAGGAAACTCAGTGCAATTGTAAACAGAGGCTGACTGGTACATATTACTAAAACTTCAGCATTCAGGGTCAGATTCAAGAAAAGGGCTTAGGTACCAACTGAAGTGCAGAAACATATCCTTTTCTTCAGCATTTTTCCAGCTCGCTAACTCAATCCCCCCGCTCAGAGTACTGGTACATGTGAACCCCATTACTGGACACTGAATTCTCCCCACTTACTGTGCAGGCACGGTAGCATCCTAATTAAGGCTTCTGAATCCCAGGCTCAGAGCTGGGTGCCTGTGTCCCCTGTGGATCTTTGCCTTAATGCATTAAAATCCCCTGTTGAGCCCAACGCGACACATTGTCCTTAACACCATATATACGTGAGTAATGATCCAGAATAGGAGCATAAATCCTTTTAAACTCAGCTGTGGTCTCTCCTAAGCCTGTCCAAGCCAGGCAGCAGCAATACAGGAGCCCAATGCGTACAGGCAGGTCAGGTCAACTTCAGCAAATAGTCACCGGTTTTGCAGGGGAGGACAAACAAGATTGTCTCCTGGTTTTATAAAATGAAAAGTTACCCCCTGAATTCTGAGAAGTGGCCTTTGAAGGAAATAAAATTTTCACTTCAGTTTCTGTTAAACGAACTGGTCCAGCCCATCTCAGTATCGAAAGTATCAGTATCTGAAGTCTCACATAAGCTTCACATATTACAAAAGCCTCACAAAATATAAGTAAAATTAAACAGATATATGTGCAGTAGAAGACAAGAATCCTCTGTAAGCAGTTCTTTCTTTTCTATCATCACCTACTCCTACAGCCCAAGCAAAGGCCATCCTCATTCTAATTTGAACTAAGTCCTCTTACTTTAAAATCTCTTCTGGACCAGCCCTGCTCTCCCCTCCATTAGTATAAATCAGCTGTCTTTTCATGGACTTTCTCCAACTGTATCCTGGTGTAACCAAGATCAGAATCTCATTTTGGTGATAATTTGCTAGGTTGTGCTAAAGTTTAACATTGGTGCAGGCCACAGATTTTGGTGAAATCCCATCTATTTATGAGGTAAAGAATTTACTGTTATGAATTCTTATAATAGCTACATGATTTTTTTAATAAAATGATCACTTGCAGATAATGTTTCAAGCAACTTGCTTAAAATTTTAAACCCATCCGTCAATTAACAGTAATTAATCACCGAGCATGTTATGTGTGCTAAGTAAGTTGCAGCTTTCATTACAAGAATATAAACTAAAAAAATCTAGGAAAAACTGTCTCGGAGTCTCTATTTAACACTTCAAATGAATGGTTTTGTAAAGCTCCTATTGGTGTCCTCCGTCACAGGCAACATTCCCAGATGCCAGAGGGGCTGGGAGCTTTTCTCATCTGTGGGAGAAGCAAGTGATTTGCACCTGAAGAAAAATTTCAGACTTATTCTTCGCGTATGATTTGTGTTCCAGGTGGTGGTAAGAGGTAAATCCTAGAGGCTTTCTCCACGATGATCGAATGCCAAGAAGTGGAGCAGTTACTGGAACAGCAGCAGCTTCTAATGTCTTTGCAATGACAGTTTTAACTAGAAAGGTACAATATTTTCTATTCTGCGAAGCTGAGCTAGACCGTTTTGGCAAAGAGTTTGTCTGCCTACCAAGGGTGGGGTAGGTATTTACTATCTATATAATGACTTCCTACTCCAAGTGGGTCGGGTAATTCAAATAACTGGCCAAAACTGCCTTTGGTCGAGTCTGGTGGAAGTCTCGCCTGTAAGTAAATACATCCCTCCCTCTGCTACAAGAGGGCACATCCTCCGTCATGTGACGTCTCAGCCGTTTCCTGGTACTGCCACTCCAACAAATACTGCACTTTATCTCCCTCCCACTGTAACATCGGCAGTTTCACCGCTGAGGTTGCTGTTGCTGCACTTTCTGGTGTCAATGGCCTGCTGTGAACTGGAAAAATACCTACTGAAAAAAAGAAAAACGGTCAAAGCACTCGAATGATACCAGAGGCTCCTTCTTTCTCTACCGTGGCTGTAGTTTGTCGGTTCTGCCTGTCCAGCCCCAAACAAAGTGTTTCAGAATCCAGCCTGCCCAAATAATCACGTTTTAAACAAATAGTGCAGCAGCAGCTCAGCTCGCTGCGTGTGATCAGTGTACTGCACAGCTTTCCCTCAACCTCAGCCTGGACGCCCTACGTCCAAACACACGGATTGTGATCGTTCTGGCGTCTGGAGTGAGGTAAAAGGTATTGTGTGTGTGTGGTGGGGTGGTAAATCCCAAACTCGGCCAGATTGCAGAGGTGCTGCCTTGCCCCGTGGTTAAGAAATAACTCATTTCTGGTTGAAATGTTAAAGGTATGAAGCAACCTGAATGGTAAGAAATAACTACCAGTTCCTACGTGGCTCCTGCAGGCGCTCTGGATGGAGCAAACTGCCCCGTCCCTTGGCAAATCTCAGTTCTGCAAAAACCAGCATCCCCATCACCCTGCACCGCAGCCCGTGGGAGAGCTGCTGAGAATGGACACAGCAGTTATTGAAAAGCTCCTGCAAGGATTCAGAATACAGCTGTTTGCCAAAATCAGAGCAGTATGACTTTGTTCACCATAAACATTCTGGGGAACACTGATCATATTGCACCAGTTCACTACATTGTCTAGCTCTGAAAGCGAGCAGAAATTGTGACAAGCTTTGTAGTGACCAACAACTCTTGCTAAGAAAGACAATGTTATTCCAGCAAACTACAGGTGAACCACAAAAAGAGAGGTGCTGAGGAGCAAGGAGATCCTATAGATACAAGTCAGCAGGACCTAGAGGTGTCACCATGATTCATAACTCCATCCTTTACTGGAAACCAAGTCAGCAAAACAAAAAGGTGTTCACAGGCTCTAGTGGGCTCCAGTGGGCTCCAGTTTAGACTGATGTCTTCTGGGGAAAAGCTTCATGAACCCTGGTAGTTTACAGTAGCTCTTTTAAAACAAAATTTCTGAAAATGAACAAGTTATTTCATAGATGAGCTACGTTATCATGAAAAGTTGTTGTTGTTTGTCTTTCAAAACAAGCACGCTCCTGTAAAGAACAAATGAATGCCAATATTATCCTTAAATGTATTTGAAAATTAATACCGTAACTGCGTGTCACTTAGAAGTACTCTGTTTTGATCTTCACAAGGTTATCCCAGTTGCTTCGCCCCATAAAATTAACCGCAAACACAATAGTGAATGAGTCAGAATCCAAAGCTGACTCGAAGCAAAGGGATAAATGCCTCCGGAGAGCAGAGCAAACAGGAGGCACGAAGCAAAGTTAAGGGTGCAGCAGTGGGTGGAAACAGTTGAATGAACAAGGACTGGGACAAAGAGGACGGTTTTCTGTAAGAATTCTCATTTATTTCAAGCTCTTCCACCTCCCACCAAGGCAAACACCTCTGGCAGGGTCTGGAACACCCGACCTGACGGCCCAAAGCCTGAGCTGGAAAGACATGAGCTACAAGATGCAAGCTCTGAGCAGGAAGGCCCACAGGCTCCGGCACTTCTGCGCAGGGGCTTTGAAAAGAGTTTCCAAGGGGCTTACACAAAAAGTCCTTTCAAAAGTGCTCCATAAAATACACCTGAAGAAAGACCGTTAGGAGGAGACTCGGTTGAGCTCTGTTCTCTTCTGTTTAGCTCAGGTGTTGTTTTTTCACACACAGAAACACATGTAGAGACTTAGTACCCCATACAATGCCTCACTAAAGTCATCAAGCCGTGGTTATAACTTCATCCAAGATCAACAAGG